TATATAAGTGTTCTAGGAACCCCTCCTTATCAATGTACCAGCTAGCATTGTTTTTAGAAGCTGACTTCGACTTCAGTGAATTTATTTTATTTAGATTATTTCAACGTGTTTGGCCATTTCACAATGGGTGATTTTTGAGCACACCTGCCCACACTATGCTAAATGTTAAGTAGTTCTTACCCAAAATAGCATGAACCCTGTGCCCTCTCCTTCTTATTCATCAGATCTTGCCCTGAGCAACGTTTTTTGTTTCCCCAAGTAAAAACATTTTCTCAAAGGGAAATATTTTGTCAATGTGGAAGAGGTGAAAAAAGAAAATGGCAAAAGATTAAAGGGATCAAATTGACAAGTTCAAAAACTGTTTTTTGTAGTGGAAACAGGTGTATTGTATCAAACAAAGAGTACTTTGAAGGTCACTGACGTTTAAACTTGTAAGAATAAATACATAATTTCCTATAAATAGCTTCCTGTTTGTTTGAGATCCCCCTCATATATCTACTCAAAGAAGTGAAATATCTCTACAATGACAGCTACAAAACATTGCTGAAAGAAATTTTTAAAATGACACAAATGGAGAAACATTTCATGCTCATGGATTGAAAGAATTAATATTGTTAAAAAGTCAATACTGTCTAAAGCACTATACAGATTTAATGCAATCCCTATCAAAATACCAGCATCATTTTTCACAGACCTAGAAGAAACAATACTTAAACTTCTATGGGTGCGCAAAAGAGCCCAAGCAATCTTAAGCAACAAAAACAACACTAGAGTCTTCGTATTGCCAAACTTCAAATTTTTCTACAGTAACCAAAACAGTAAGGTACTGGTACAAAAATAGGTACATAGACCAATGGAAAAGAATAGAAAACCCAGAAATAAAACCACTGTCTTACAACCATCTCATTATTGACAAAGTCAACAGAAAGTAACACTGGGTAAGAGATACCTACCCTATTTGACACATTATGTTGTGAAAACTAACTAATCATACATAGAAGAATGAAGCTGGAACCTTTCCTCCTACCATATACAAACGTTAACTCAAGATGAATTAATTGCTTACCCATAAAGCCTCGAACTATAAAAATCCTAGAAGAAAACCTAGAAAACACTCTTCTGGACATCAGCCCAGGCAATGAATTCCTGACTGAGACTTCAAAAGCAAAAGTAGCCAAAAGAAATTTGACAAGTGGGACCTAATCAAACTAGAGAGCTTCTTCACAGCAAAAGAAACCACCAACAGAGTTAACAGACAACCTACAAAACAGGAGAAAATATTTGTCAAGGATGCATATGACAAAACATTAATATCCAGACTCTATAAAAATTCAAACAAATTACAGTACACGGAATGGGAAAGAATATTTGCCAACTATATATCTGACAAAGGCCTAACATCTAGAATCTACAAGGAACTCAAACATACAGAAAAGAAAAAACAAACAAAAAAACAAACAGCCCTATTAAAAAGTGACTAAAAGATATGAATAGATATTCTAAAAAGAATACATATAAGCAGCCAACAGATACATAAAAAAATGTTTGACCTCACTAATCATCAAAGAAATGCAAATTAAAATCACACTGAGATACCATCTGATTCCAGTCAGAATGGCCAAAATCAATAATTCAAAAAACACAGATGCTACAGAGATTGCAGGAAAAGGGAACACTACTACACCGTTGGTGAGAGTGTAAATTAGTACAATCTCTGTGGAAAACAGTGTGGCGATTCCTAAAAGATCAGAAAAATCCACCTCCCATACGACCCAAAACCTCCCCTTCTGAGAATATAACTCGAGGAACTCAAATCACTCTATAAAAAACATACCTGCAGCCAGGCTCGGTGGCTCAGCTTGCAATCCCGCGCTTTGGGAGGCTGAGGTGAGTGGATTGCCTGAGCCCGCAGGTTCAAGACCCAACTGGGCAATTTGGCGAGACCTCATCTCTACAATAAATCAAAAAATTAGCCGAGCATGGTAGCGCGCACCTGTAGTTCCAGCTACTTGGAAGGCTGGGGTGATAGCATCGCCGGAGCCCAGCAGGTCGAGGTTGCAGTGGCTGGGAGCGGCCACTGCACTCCAGTCTGGGTGACAGAGTGAGACTCCAACTCAAAAAAAAAATACCTGCACATGCATGTTTATTGCAACATTATTCACAATAACAGAAACATGGAACCAAGTGTACTGCCCATCAAAAGTGAACTGGATTTTAAAAAGTGTGGTACATACACATGATGAAACACTGCAGCCATAAAGAACAAAATTATGATCTTTGCAGCAACTTGGATGACTTTATAGTCTATAATACTCAGTGATCTATCACAGAAACAAAGAACTGAGTACCTTATGTTCTCACTCAAAAGTGGACCCTGAATAATTATCACAATACTATAAAAAGGGGATTAATGGTAGAAGGAAACTGCCAAGGGAAGAGGTGGGGCATACTTCATCAATAAGCGTACCTGATCTCCCACCAGGCAAAGCAGGGACCAAAGTGAGGCCCAAACATTGCCTGTACATTGATCATTTGTATATCTAATCATGAATTATATACCCTACATCCTTAAAATAAAAATTAAAAAATTCAAAAAATTAGCAGGATAAAAACTAATAACCTTATTAAAAAGTGGGCAAAGGACATGATAGACATATCTCAAAGGAAAACATATAAGTGACCAACAAATATATGAAAAAATGTTCAACATTACAAACAGAGAAACTACAGTGAAATTCTATCAAAACTACAATGAAATACGATTTCATACTAATCAGAACGACTATTACTAAGGAGTGAAAAGCAACAGACGTTGGCAGGGCTGAGGAGAAAAAGGAACACTTGTATGCTGTTGTTAGGAATGTAAACTAGTTCAACCCCTGTGGAAAGCAGTTTGGAGATTTCTCAAAAAGTTGAATGTAAACTTACCATTTGACCTAACAACCTCACTACTACGTATATACTTAGAGGAGCATAAATTACTTTCCCAAAGACATCTGCACTTACGTGTTTATCGTGGCACTATCAGCATTAGCAAAAATATGGAACCAACTTATGCTCATCAATGGTGGACTGGATAAAGAAAATTTGGAACATATGCACCATGGAATACTATGCGACCATAAAAAAGAACAAAATCATGTCCTTTGCGGCAGCAACATAGATGCAGCTAGAGACCATCATACTACGTCATTTATCATAGAAACAGAGAACTGAAAACTACTTGTTCTCCCTTATAAGTGGGAGCTAACATACAAGCACAAGAATGAGAACAGACCCTGGTGTACTCCTAAAGGTGGTAGGTGGGTGGTAAGAGTTCAAAAACTACCTGCTGAGTACCATGTCTATCACCTGGTTGACAAGCTCAACAGAAGCCCAAATCTTATCATCACACAATATACCTATCCAAAAAACCTGCACACGTACCTCATGAATCTAAAAAAATAGTAAAAAATGAAGAATTGCATAACTGACTTACCCACCTAGAGGATCACTCTGGCTGTGTGTGGATAGTGTGTTTAGGGAAGACATGAACGAAATCATGGAAAACAGAAAACTGTGATCATTCTTCACAAAATGAGACTAGATTGAGGATAGTCATATTAGAAAGTAAGAAGTGATTTGACTATTAGTCTTTGTTTTGTTTTGTTTGTTTTTGTGTTTTAAAGCAAAGTGTATAGGAATTGCTGACAGATTGAGTGTAGCAGGTAAGAAAATTTAAGAATGATCCCAGGATTCTGGTCTGAGCTCTGAAAGGATGGTGCTACTGTTAAACAAAATGAGAAAGATTAAGGATGAGCAGTTTGGAGGAAGTGCAGAAACAATAATTTGTTCTATTTCTATAAATCTGAGCTGCCTGTTAGATATCTAGCAAAATGTCACATATCCAACATCCAGGAGAAACATTAGAGCTTGAGATAAATTTTGAAGTCAGCAACATATATATGGTATTTAAATCCATGACACTACTGAGATATTCTAGAGACTAAGTACAGACATTAAAAGATCCTAAGGCCTAGACCCAAGTACTCTAACGTTAAAGAATAATGACAGAAGAAGAAATCAATGAACAAAACTGAGAAGGATATCCCATGAATTATGAGAAAAAGTAGAAAAGGGTGGTGTTTCTAAAGCTTAATGAAGAATATACCTAGAAGATGGGAGTAAGCAACTGTGTCAAGGGCTGCTGAAGGGTCACAAGACTTTAGGGGCTAGAAAGTGGCCACTGCATTCCATTATGTGCTGGATGGCATTAGCCTAAACAAAAGTAGTGCATGAAAATAGGAAAGAAAAATAAACAGGTTGCTTTGAAAGGATCAGAGTAAAATGAAGAAGGGACTATGCAAACAACCAGTATTAAAAACAATTTAATAGTACAATTATAAAACGAAGCACAGAAAGGTGCGGTAACTAGCACAGTTGTGGTATTAAGAGTTCTGTTTAAGTTCAGTGCTAGAAATAATAGCATGATTTTAAAAAATTTTTTAATTTTTAAAAATTTTTTAAAATTATGAACTTCACAGCAACTTGGATGGACTAAGAATCTATAATACTGAGTGATATAGCACAGAAACAAATAACTGAGTATCACATATTCTCACTCATACGTGGACCTTGAACAATTGTTGTAATACTATAAGAAAAGGATTGTCAGAGGTGGGAAATTGCCGGGGACAGGGGAGTGGGTGTGATTGGCAGTAGCGGGGGTGGGGGGACATACCTCATTAACAAGGGTACCTGCATAATGAACATTTGTATACTTAACCCTGCATTGCATGCCACATCTTTAAAAAAATTTTTTTTATAAAAGAAAAAATAGCATGATTGCATACAGATGAGAGTTATCACATAGGGATGGAGGAAGTTGATAATGCAGGGAAAAAGGAGACCAATTACAGAGGGAGGTTAAAAGAAGTGTGTACAAAGACATACAGTTTTACTCTGTAATACAAAAGAAGATGTTTAAATGATGTGTGATGTTTGTTTTTATCTTATTTCAGGATTGTTCCACCTGAATTGAAGTCACTTGCAGTGGGTTTCCATGCACTGGTTATACGAACAGTAGGTATGGCGAATATATAGATAATAAATTTAATATATAAATATTCATGTTAATGATTGAAAGCTGAATGTAAATAATTTTTAATTAGAGGAAAGTAAAAAAATAAATACGTAAGAATCATTTGTATTTTGAGGATAAATGAAAATGACAGAGAAAAAGTGTAGCCTAAAGGGAATTTGATTAATAATTCTAAAGTCAGTCTGTTAAGATAAAGGCATCATCATATTTGTATTCCACTGTTTCTGATAGAAAAACCGTCTTCAAAGTTTTTATGCTTTCAGAAAAAAATAGGAATATTTCTTCCAGGTAGGCAGAGTGGAGGAGGGCCTTTCTTCTAAACTGGGGCATTATTTAGGGAAAGCCTAAAGCAGACTGAGAGGCCTAGAAATTTGGCCTGACTGAGGGTGTGCAAAAGGACAGAAGCTGACATTAACTGTAACACTTCCCACTGCCTTGTTCTGTGAGGCTGGGCAGCTAACTTCCAGCAGGAGTTAATCCCAAAGAGAGAGATAATTCAGACTCTAGACCTAGGATTAAGAGAGAGATTCCCGAATAAAGAAAGCTCAGGAAATTGCAGCTACGTTTGGCAAAGATTAGGACTGTAAACTCTAGAGGCTAAAAGCCTATTTCTAATATTCAAAGGTGATGAGTAAAAGATTTAGAAAACACTCTTTTCTTTTCTCCATTTTTGCTGCTTGCCATTTTTATTACAGAGATGTTTAACCAATTTCTACTATAACTCCTGTGAGTGCCCCTTTTTAAGAACTATAAACATTATAAGCTTATTCCCGGGAAGTATAACAAGGGCATCATTCATCTAAGGATTAATGCAGAGAACTGATCATGACCCAGAAGCAACCATCATTGGCAGAAGGAAAAGGAAGGGAAGAGTCATTCACTGGGACCCTTGCAACAAAGGAAAAAAAAATTTGTGTGTATATGTGTGTGTGTGTGTGTGTGTGTGTGTGTGTGTGTGTGTGTGTGTCAAATTACAGCAGAGAGGTTGTCCAAGAACTATAGTTGTGGAGAAGGATGGCAACAGATCCTCAAAGGTTAAAAAAAAAAAGAAAAGAAAATATAAACAGTAGAGGAGAGAGAAGATTAAGGTGCTAAAAGATTCCTTTATGTCTTTTCCCAGTGTTCTATTTTATGTGTCTCAATATCCAGCCTCTATACATTCTAGCCATCTCCTACTTCCAGATTTAATGGGGATAACTTACTTTTAGTACCCAGGACACAGAAGCTAAAAATAGACTGAGTTGTTAGTATTACTTCTGATATGTTGAAATGAGACTATAAGAAATTATTTTAGCAACAGTAGACAAAAATAATAAATGTTGCTATTCTGTTAGCATTTTATTTTGATGTTTCCAACATATAGCACAATGGGACCTAAATGTTTCTATTAGAAAAATGCACACTGAGTATCAAACTTTAAATTCACAATTTTCTTGAATATACGTGAATTGTGGAAGGTCTATATAATGTAATAAACTGAAAAATTTATTCAGAAAACAGGTTATTAGAAACTTAAAATTTTCAATAATAAATACCAAGTTTGTTACTTAAAAAATTAATTCATTAAATGTGTTCAATCCAGTGGCATTATGTGAGAAAATAATTTGTTGGCACATGTTTTTCACTTTTTAAATAGTGGCTATGATTTTTTTGAAATCTGCACAATTCTCACCCATTTTCTCAGTACCAGTTTTCTTCAGATACATTGACCACAGTTCCTTGTTAATCAATCTACGACTTCCTATGCTCGAGAAATTGAGACTAATTCAAAGTAAATAGAATCAATAAAAGTGTGATGTATCAATCACTATCATTTTTATGCTACAAAATGAAATCTAAAAAATCATTCTTCAAAAGATGCAGAAAAGGGGTAAAATTATGAGTACTTCAGTTCTACCATTTGAAGAATAACTTCTACTAGCGTGTTCCTCAAATTTATGATAAAATTACCTACGCTTAGAACCAGGAATCAATCTCATGGTTTTAAATAGCAGTAAGAACAGATGCACACTTTTGTCCTAAACAACATATAAGTCTCTAAAAAGTCATGCATTCTGAAAATTCATGTACTACATATAAAAATTGGTTAAGGGACAGACCACTGAATATGTAGGCATCGTTGTGATCAGAACACTAACAGAAAGAAAAAAAAAGTAGCACCACTGGTCCTAACTTAAACATCCTGGGCTGTTTCGGGAGGTATTTTTAAATGTACAAAAATCAGAGGAAAGAAAATGTTGGATTTTGGGTTTAATGACACCAAGAAAGCGTAAGTAGAGCTCTGAGCTCAGAATGAAGTACAACCTGCCAGGAGGTGACCTCTTTGTGAAGTTGAGTCTGTATTTCTCTGGGAAAGAAGTAAGCACTCACTTTTTAATTTTCTTAAAATAGTTTTGAAAAAACTCGTGATTTCACAGCAGTTGAGAGCTTTTTTCCTTTTCTCATAAAGTTTGATTTCACTCCCACTATTTTAGCTCTCCTTTCCTAAGAAAAATCATGTATGAAACAACACAACTTCCATGCTTCACTAACAACATTCTCCTTTTACCAGTCAGACTTAAACTACTTTTTGTTATAAGAAGGACAGAGTGTATAGGCATATAATGTACCTTCTCACCCATTTATGTCAGGAAGGCGAGGGTAGATAAAAGTTGTCTCTGATAACACTGTATGATTTGAAACGTTGACAGTTCTAGAACTCTTGATTCTTGGGCAGATGCAGGACTACACAATGGAAAAGTCCTCCAAAATTTAAACTGTTACTTAATCCAAATGTATTAATGTGAAATATCACCCAGTTACATTTGAAGCATGTTTCCTGTATTACCACCTTCTTATCTCATGTTGCAGGAGGAATTCTATCTCCAATATATTTTGGTAGTCTGATTGATATAACATGTATGAAGTGGTTCACCAATAGCTGTGGTGCAAGAGGGTCTTGTAGGATATATAATTCCACATTATTTGGGTAAGTTGTCATAAATACATTTTATTCATTGATTCTTTTCCTTTGACTATATTAATTCCTAAAGAATATCATTTTTAGTATAATAATGATATTACTAATAATAGTCATCTTTTAGTGACCATTTACTTTGCATTATTTAATATTATTATCATATCAGGCAGTGTGGTATTTTATTTTAATAAGAAGTATATACTGTAGGAAATGGATATTTCCTCCATTTCCCCTAAATATGAAGAAATTAAGATTCATTAATAAGTAATTTGTCCAAAATCACATGCCTAAATGTAAAAAAACTAGAATTTGCACTCAAAATGTTTATTTTTAAAACTCTCTTCAAACTAAAATATATACATTCTATTGTCGCTGGCTTCTTTAGGATGACATGGAATGACTATCTTGGTGTCTGGTCAATGTAAAGAAAAAAGGGGAAAAATGTTTTTGTACTTTTCTGTTCATAGAAAGAGATATTCTGTAGTGGTATGAAGATAATTCAATGGTTGTCTCAAAGAAAAATGTTGCAATTATATGTTACCTCTTAAATAAAAATTAATTTCTCATTTATATAAATCAAAAACATATATTGAAAATATGAAACTACAGGTATTAGAAGAATCATAATAGATTTTTAAAAAATTATCTAGAAAGCAGAAATGTGTTTCTAATTATGACCCAAATTCCCAAGATCATAATAGAAAAAATGTATAACACTCTGCATCACAAAACTTACTTTAAGCATGTTCAAAAACAAAAGACAAAGTAGAAGAAGAATCTCCAACTTGTAACCCAGACACAGGCAAATATCCCAAATATATAAAGAGTTCTTAAAAATCAACAAAAACAAAATGCTGGTAAAGATGTGAAGCAACAAAAATGTTCTTTCATTGCTAGTAGGAAATGTAAAATGATACAGGCATGTTAAGAGAGAGTCAGGATTTCTTACAATCAAAACAGGCTTTTTATACAAATAAGCAATTGTATTCTTAGGTTTTACCTAAATTAGTTGGAAATATGTCCACACAAAAACATGCACTTGAATGTGAAAAAGCGGAAGTAACCAGGCTGTCCTTCAATAGGTGACTGGATAACCATACTGAGGTATAGTCATACAATGAAATATTATTCAGCAATAAAATAAATGACCTATCAGCCTACAAAAAGACAAGAAGAAAACTTAAATTCATATTGCTAAATGGAAAAAGGCAGTTATCTGATTATAACTGTATGACTCTCTGGAAAGGGAAAAACTATGAAGGCAACAGAAAGATCAGTGGTTTCTAGGGGCTCAGTGGGGATTAGGGAGAAATGAGTAGGTGGAGCACAGGGCATTTTTAAGGCAGTGAAACTATTCTGAATGACATTATAATGGTAGATACATGACATTATGCATTTGTCAAACATATAGAACTATACAACATAAAATGTAAAATCTAATGTAAAGTATGGACTTAATAATGTATCAATACTGGTTCACCAAATGAAACAAATATACCACAATAACACAAAGTATTGATAATAGGAGAAATTGTGTATATGTGGAGTTGGAGTATACAGGAGACTTTCATATTGTCTGTATAGTTTTTCTGTAAATCTAAAACTTCTGCAAAAAATTAAGGTCAATTTAAAAAGAGAAATCATCAAACATTTCCCAAAGAAAAAGAATCACTAGTGGCTAAGGAACATATAAAGATATGCTCAAATGTATTGATAATAATAGGAGAGCAATTAAAACTCACCCTGTTTGTCAACAACAAGAAATGCAGATTTCATACTGTGCTAGAAAAAGTAGATAACTTTGTCCAAGCAGCAAAACTTCTAGGAATTTATTCAATGGATAGCTGTACTTCAAAACATGTAAAATGACACCTATATAACATTATATACATGATTATTACAGTATTGTTCTCTAATAACAAAATATTGAAAATGACAATAAACGATGGAACATTCAGGCAAATAAATATTCTGAGGTCTTAAAAAGAAGGAAAAAGGTGTGTATTTACTAATATGGAACCCTCTTCAAGACATACTGCTATGTGACTTTAAAAAAAGCATGACATATGTGTATGGAGCATATTATTATTTATGTAAAAGAGGGAAAATGTCTTAGTTCAGTATAAATCTCTGGGGAAAACTCCTTGGATTACATTTACTAAAAATATTTTCTTTTATTTAATGTGTAAATTCATTATCTAACATCCTCAGTAGATAATGATTCGGATGTTTCAGGAATTCTTTTACTGAAGCAGTATTCACTACACCACGGACAGTGTCATAACATGTCTTAAAATTTTTTTTCTAAGAATAAAAGTATAGAAAAAGTGCAAAGAAAAGTTTCATAAATTTGCCTTATGGACTTTAAGAGAGTTTTTTTTTTTTTTTTTTTTAAATGAAATCTTCATTTTCAGGACACCTGGCTAGATATCTTCAAATTTCTCCAAAGCAATAAGCACCAAGTTCAAGCATTAAAATGACTTTTTGAGATGCTTTATTGTTGTTTTAGTATAAATAGATGCCTGAAATCAATTTTTAACTATACTAGTTATTTTTCCTTCACTGAAGTAAAACTAAAATGGAATTAAAATTTTTTTTTCTGTGTTAAATTGATTTAACTAATTCTTCTTATTGAAGAAATGTTATGGCATCCAAAATTTTACTATACCACAAGAAGAGCTTTGTGACATCATTATATACACATATGCACGTTATACATGTATACAAACATGCATACATTATACTAATATATATGTATACAAATGTATGTTATTCTGAGTCATTTAACTTATGCTCAACTCCACAAGACACTATCATTAATATTCAACAAGTCAATCAGTATATTTTTCAATATATTTACCACTTTCTTTACTCTTCATTACTTCTTGCATCTTAGATTCCATAAAGGGTCACATTTTTCTGATTGAAGTAGATTTATTAAAATGTCTTCTAGTGAAATTTTTTAGTTGCAAGTTGTTAGTTTTAATTTTTCTGGAAATATCTTTATGTCAATCTTACACTTAAAAGACATATGTACAGGGTATGTATTGAAACCTACACTGACAATTATTTTCTCCTGGCACACTGAAAATATTCTGTAGTCTTCTAATTTCCATTTTGTTGTTGATAAGTTATTCATTGTCTGTTTATTTTGCTCCTTTATGGTAATCTGTTTTCTCTATTTGTATTCTTTTTGTTTATTTGTTTGCTTTTGAGTTGGAGTTTCACTCGGTCGCCCAGACTGGAGTGCAGTGGCCGCTCCCG